TTCCCTCCCTTGTGAACTTCTACAAAAGGACTACAGGTGACCTTTTCAAATGCTTGCCTATATTCTCTTTTGCCTGCTTTTGGGTGGCATAGTAAGAGTTCATCCATACTGTTGAGAACGTTTAGGAGTGAGCATTTTTCATCTTTTACAAATCACAAGCCAAATCTAAACCTATGTGACTGGCCTTTGATTATTGTGGTGGAATGGTGTTAGGTTTTCATTTCCACTACATTTGATTTCGAGTTTGGTGCCATTTTTTTAAGGGGCACATTCTACGAATTGGCAAAAAAAAACCAATTTCTCATTTTGAAATGTCCTACATTTAACATATGCACATGGTTAAGCCAAAATAATGTTGAAGCAAAGAAGAACTAAAATTGGTAACCATGGTTAACTCTTCCCCAGACCCCAGTCGTGGGATTACACTGAGTTGTTGTTGTACAGTTTAACTCTTTAATTTAAGGTCCACACACTTATATTGAGGCACAATAACCCTTCTTGGTATTTTGATTTTGGTTCCGAAATGAAGAGCCCACAACTAAAAACTCAACTAGTACAAATAAGTTTGAGAGAACCGAATCTGAATATTTCTTAACTCAGCAAATTAGTTTCCAAAAAATAATTACTGAAGAAACCGTATGAGCAAACCTAGTAGCAGCAGGTACTATAAAAAGTATCTGCTCAATGTCCTAGATCAATTACACACTATTGTCAATTGATAACATTTAATATCAAGGGGTGAAAGTCCTGATTGAATAGATTGTGCAAGTAAGATATATGCGTCTTCAGCAATTTCTTCAACAGTTCAAAGCAATCTTACAAAAAGGTCAAATTTTGAACTACTTTAAGCCTAGTTTTGGCACTCCAGGGAATACTGTATTGTAATATCGTGCATTCAGAGGGTATGAAGACTAGTTAAGACTTAAGAGGAGTACTATTGGGAGTTGGGACTTAAAGTTCGTTAACTAAACTCATCCAAAATTTGGCAGTTCTCATATGTAGGAGGAACATTTTCTTGCAATTCAACCGCTTCTTCATCATTTATTGTTTTTTAATCATCATTGCTTTCTGCTGCAATTTATCCGATGTCCTGTTTTGATCCATGAGACTTGAGAGATACCAAAAGTCAGACATGCAGAGAGTCCCATGATATTCCAATTTGTTAGTTTTTGTTCTCATCAGAATACTAAAATGACAACATAGCTCTTAATGTGAGTTCATTTTGGGATATTGACCTAAAATTCATTTTTATCCTCTCTAATATTCTCATATTTTTTCTCATCTACATCTCTTTCAAAGGTCTCTCAATTTGCCTCTTTCAGACAATGTCCACAAATGATTTTACAGCTGCTGAAAAATGCAAAGGAAATTTGCCACACCGCATAGAGTGAACACCTGAAAAGTGGCTGTCTTTTTTTATGAGTTTAAAACTTGAAGTCATTATTGGAAATTTGTACAGTATGCAACAATTAGTGTTCTACCCTTTCTCATTTTAACTTGATGGCATTGACTTCACACTTGTATGCTTGTTTCAGGGCTTGATCCTATGGTCGATGTGACTGAAAGTCAAATTACCTGCAAGGCAGATGGTCGCAAAGCTTTTCAGAAATGGAAAGGGTCCTCTTTGAGGGAATTATTCTCGAGTGAACCTTACCTTGTATTATCGGTTGCATTCCTATTGTTTAGGGCTTCCCTATATTTCTTCCCCAGGTTGGTAGCTCGTGTAGTAGCATTATGGGCTGCATATATTCCTCATCCAAACATGGGGATCTTTGGAGATTCAAGGCAGATTCTGGGGCGCATCTTCCACGTAATTGATCCCAAGAGGGCTTGGAGCAAGCTAAAGCTATGCAAAACGAGAAACTTCCATAAAGGTGCTAGGAATGCTCGAGTTTGGGCTTCGTCCTTGACATCAGTTTCATTGGGAGAGACCTCAGCAGCAAGAATAGCCCCCTCAGGAGACTTGTAAGCTACTACTCGTTGTCTCTTGCATCAGATTGTCACTAAAGCGAACAAGTTAGAACTCAGAGTCTGGCTTCTACAGCAAGTAGAATCGTCTTACTTCTTCATTCCCTGTTATTTCTTCCCCCTCGGGTTAGCTGTTATTGCCCGGTGTTGTATCTTATCTTTTTCAGAAAATTTAAATATACTCAAGAGACCAGAAGATCTTGTGCTTTTAGAGTTTAGGTGGAAATATGAACAGCTTTCTTGTAAATTTTGAGAACAGAGTGTTTCTATGTATATTACATGATGACAAGGAGACTTTGTAACACTGCATGTATTTGTCTGTGATGATTTGTTGGCATCAACAGAAAGTGTTACACTATGTGTTGGTAAAAATGGCAAGTTACTCATTTGGAACATCATCCTTCATCTTTTACCTTGCAGTCTGTGATACTTGGCTTGTCACTACTTTGATTTAGAAGGTAACTAACGTTACTTTGATTTGAAAGATAATTGACGATTCTCGACTTCTGTTCTACTTTGATTTAGAAGGTAACTTACATTACTTTGATTTGAAAGATAACTGACGATTCTCGACTTCTTCTGTTCTATGTCTCTAATCACTTGTCATTGCGATTACTTCATCCATAACACTATACAAAGGGGTCTGCATTTGCATACTCTCTTGACTTATAAGCTTGAATGCTTTGGGGGGGGGGGGGATGGATTAATCATATATTTAAGCGAAAAGCAGAAGTGGAGCCAGGATTTTCACTTAAAGGGTTTCAAAATATGAAGGAAATGAACACATGAAGAAGCTAAAAGGGATTCAATATCTAATGTATGTACATAAAAAATAATTTTAACGATGATATTATTTTCTCTGAAAAAGGTTTAGATGAACTCCTCGTTCCTACCTAACTCTGCCCCGAAAAGGCCATATGTCTAGGCCTTCTCTTTCATTATCTACTCCCATGTGCACTCCAAATGAAATACAATATGGAGAACCACGTTTTCCTTTCATAATTATGGTGTTTGAGTCTGTTTGAACATATTTTAAATTCATTGTTTGTGGTACATGTTATCTCCCATTAGACAGGTATTGGTTTATGCACTAAATCACTTGGACAAATACAAAGAAAAGTCCAAAAAAAAATTCGTTGAAATTTAAACTTGAGATCTTATGATTTTCAACCAACCACACCCTTGAATGCATAGACATCATTTTTTGTTGCTAGTGTATTTCCAGGTGTCCTTTTTCTTTGTGTTAAACTAAAACTTGTCTTTTACTTAACAATTATCATATTTTTAATAAAGATGATAGCATATTGATTAAGAGGAGTATCTTCTCTTTTGTAGCCATGTGGTGGTTTGAATTAGTGGGGTTCTAGGTTTAACAATAATCACATATTTAATCAAGATGTTAAGTTGAAATTTTTATCTTTTCTTGAGGATTTGTTTAATAATGGTGTTTAGTGGATTTATTTGGTAAATATAGACAATATTCAAAAAACACTCAATTAACATACATTGAAAAGAAAAAAGAAAACAGAAAAGCATCAAAGGATGTGGTGCAATGGATGGTATTGTTCCTCTCTTAATCAGAGATGTCAATTCGTATCATGGATATGAAAATTTTCTTGGTATGAAACGCTTATCCGCGAATGAGACTCTAAGTGGACTCTAATACAAATACTGAACACCGAATTAAAAAAAAAACAGAAAAAATAAACAAACAAATCTAGTAACTATAATTGAAGAGAAACCTCTCATTAATTTGTTTCAAAGAAAATAGGAATGATAATTAATACATATACTAAGTCTTTATTTTATTAGATTTTGATAAAACCAACCACTTACTCATACATGAACAAGACATAAATAAATATAAATATAATGAGAGCACCAAGTAGCCAATTTTGGTACCTATAGATTTATGAAATGAGTTGTCTATAGTTTTCATAATTTGGTGGCCTTTCATTGAACTTCCAATAAGATCACAACTTGTTAGTTCACATGTATAATTTTAAGAGTCACCATCAATTGATTTCAAGAGAATTATTCCTCTCAAAAGTAAGGACTCATAGGAAGTTAGAAGCAAGTAGAGTAAAAGGCGGGTAAAATGCCACTACTCAATAAAGAAAATCTAAATTTGTGCCATCTATTCAATTTCCTTTCTTGGGAAGAGACGGAAAATGTGCTCAATATCTTATGAAGTACTTCAAATCTATCGAAAAAGGATGTGGCAGTAAAAGATCTACAACAAATAACAATTTGAGTTTTTAAAACTACAAATTTATGTTTTGGGAGTTTTGCTTTTTAATGTTATAAAATTATTTTTTTGTCTTTATTAGAATCTAAATTTATGATATAGAATTTGATTCATATATTATGCGTTGCGCTTTTTATCTCTAGATTTAATTCTTTTAAGGCAATTTATGTTTGGAGACTTGAAATTCACATTTCTTAGAATAAAATTAAAATGCCTATTGTACATTCCATTGCAAGTTGCTAGTGGAATCATTCTCAACATGTTCTTTTTCTAAGCTTTGAATTCTTTCTAGAAAGAATAACATAACAAAAGAGGTTTAAAAAGTATATTTGGTCCAAATATTATGCTTATAAAGGTTCTTTTTCCTCAATTATTTTTTTTATCTCAATGTTTATTTATTGGTAATAGTGTTCCCTTGCTTTCTTGAGATTTTTGCAATTTGGTACACATTTAAGGAAGTAGTAATAAATAAATAAATTAACTTCAAAAAATAGTTTCAAATTTAGCTCATGAATAATACTAGGGGAAATCCATTATACAATTCTAAGATTAAAATTAAATAATTTTACCACTATTTGGTCATTTAAAATCTATAGATAACTTCGTTGCGTGGAATTCTAGTATTCTACAACAAATTAAGATAATCTGATAGTATAAAAGTTGATATATATATAATTAATAACTAACTATTTTCCAACATATATTAAAATGAACTAAGCCAAATTTGATGTATTTTTTCAAATAAAAATAATTAAGGAAATGAGAATTGTGAAAGCCAAAACACTAGAATTCAAGATGACAATATCTCTTAATTATTATTAATAATAAATAATAATAATAATAACCTAAAAACTCACTAAATATTCCAATTATATTACACAAAAAAAAAATACATAAAACTAACAAAATACAAATCATAAAATCACCCAAACAAAAAAACAAAACAAAAAAATCAACTCCCACAAATTAAAAAAAAATGACGAAAATACCCTCATGAATAAAGAAAACATAATAGTAGCTTAGAAGAGAAGAGCAAAAGCAAGAGCAACAAATGAAGATAAAACGGCGGGGACGAAGACGGTAGCGTCGGAAGCCGGTGCCGGTGCCGGAGCATCAGCGGCGGCGACGCCTTTTACGGCGGAGATAGCCATTATCGTCATCATCATGACTGCAACAACGAAGATCTTCATGTTAATAGCCTCCATTTTTTTTTCAATTTTGGGGAAAATGTGACTGAAATTTGTAGAGAAATTGTAATGACGGAAGAAATGGAGATTTTGGGAGATTTGTGGGTAAATTGGGGATTTATATATAGCTGAGTAGTGTGTGGTGTTTGTGTGAAAGTGAAGAATAAGTACGGGCAGTTAAGCTGCCCGTTTGAAAATATATCACATGTATGTCACTACACCATAAATAAAAAGTGTGAGATAAAATGAAATTTCATAATATATAAACGTGTCTTTTAATTTGATGATATTTGTGTCTTTCAATTTTTGATATGTATAAGTAGATGCTTAAATTTGTATACAGTTGAATAAATATATACGTTATTTGTGGGTTATGGCATAATAATGTATAACGTATATGACATCAAATGTCATGTAGGATATCGTCAAGTGGCCCAAGGGCTCCCTTTCTTTAATAATATAAGGTAAACTTTGAAAAGTAACACGTTTCCGACAGACAATTAATCCATAATATCATCCATCATAAAGGACGTATCTATCTGCAAATACTCAAACTTGAAGGACATAAATGTTTGTTGAAATAAAATTAAAAGGCATTTTTTCAAATATATTATATACATGTAAAATTACAGCATAATACAAACTCCAAAATATTTCCTTTAATTTTGTCTCATCTTATATTTATGCCCTCAATTTTTTGAGGTGCATAATTAGACATTTAAATTTGAATAGATTTTTATATGAAAAATCATGTTCTACACGATATTTTACATATCTGCTTGTTCAAATTTATATTTACGTATCTACTTAAGCACATTCAAAATTAGATGACATAAATATTAATTAAAACTAGATTAAAGAATATATTTATGTATTATGAATACAATTATTATTTCCTACATCCTAATTGATCGTAAACCAAATGTATTAGCATGTAAAAATATATTGCTCAACGATTTGACCATTTGCTTAGACATATATTATAGATACTTTTATGGCTAATAAATTCACAATCAAATATGTCTAGGGCAAATCAGTGTATCGATTGTCTAAGGATATATAATCATGAATAGTTTTTAGTACTACAAAATAATGTCAAATTTAAAATTTCAAAATATCAATTATCAACAATAATTAGCTTAACAAAATGTATATTTAATTAAAAAAAATTAAAAAGTATACCAAGTCAAAACGATCCGAATATTATAAAACGAAAGAAACATATATAATGCATGTAATGTCAAATTTAAAATTTCAAAATATCAATTATCAACAATAAGATTAGCTTAACAAAATGTATATTTAATTTATTTTTTTAAAAAAGTATACCAAGTCAAAACGATTCAAATAATATAAAACGAAAGAAGTATATATAATTCATGTAATGTCAAATTTAAAATTTTCAAAATATCAATAATAAAATTAATTTAACAGGATATACATTTAATTAAAAAAATTAAAAAGTATACCAAGTCAATATGATCCGAGTAATATGAAACGGAAGAAGTAAACTGTGACAGCAAATAAAGGATAGGCTGCCCGCTGCCCAAAATTTGACAGAGTGTACAAACAGCGATTTATAAAGTACAGCTTTTATTTAAATAAAAAATGAAAATATAATCTAAGAATTTTTTTTTTAAAAAATACTAGTGGGTCACCACCTCAAAGCTGTCTTATTAACAACACTTTTTATTTTTTATTTTATTTTTTAGAATTTATTTATGTATTTTCTATCAGTAATTTTGTTTTGAGGTCCGTTTTGAAAGTAAAACACTCCCTATTAAAAATACAACTCATTAAAATGCGTAATTAAAGATAAATGAGTATTAATCGTTCCATCGTAATATTTGACGTTCACTTTGTGAAAGGTAGTATAAATAGGCAAATAAAAAGTAGGTATGAGTTGGTATTTTTTTGACGTTTTGTTAATTGTAATTATTTATTTTTTGAATATATATATGATAAAAGAGTGTGTGAACAGTACATGCGCATGCCACATAAATATTAGAAAAATAAAAAAGTTGAAATTTAAAAAATAGGAATGTGAACATAAATTCAAATATAATAAAATGTAAATTTTTTAAAACAAAACAAATTCAAAAAACTTATAATTTAATTGATCTATTGTTACTTGGTCGTTTTCTAGATGTTGAATGCTTTGAATATTAACCAAAAATATTAGTACTATTGTTATTATTAGGAAAGGTATATATTATCAATAGAAAAGTCTTTTATGTTTATTCAGAATTCGATATTTATATTAGGGTTTGATTAAATTTTGAATTCGTAATATAACGTTGATCTTTCATAGTCATATTGATGGATAAAATATTTTCTAACAAAGATAACTTTATATTAACTATCAAGTAGAGCTTAAATTTTATTATTTTTTTATAAAAAATGAAAAAATATTTACAACTGTATCGTTAGAACAGTGGGTAACAATAGAAAAGTCATTATGTTTCATCACTCAATTAGTTAGGCTGTAACACCACATAATACATTATGCACTTTAATTAGTGTAATGTAAATGTAGAAATGGTAATTCATTAAATTTGGCAAGAAAATTAAGAGTCGCATCAAAATAATTAATGCATCCATAAGTCAAAGAAACTTTTAATCTACCAAAAATAATGATGAAACTAAAAATCTCATTAAAACTATTCAATATTTAATTATATATTCAACAACTATTTTTTGAATGATTTACACTAATATGCTGAATCAATATAAATAGGGATCTCCATTTTCACATAATTCCAGATTAATTATCGCCATAATTTTGGGGTTTTTAAAAGACTATTCGTCTAATCATATTGGTCTCAATATTATACTCGTTCTGTTCATTTTTATTTATCACAGTTTAACTTGGCATATCCATTAAAAAAACAATTATTAATAGAAGTATTTTATCAAATTATTTCTATTAAATGATGTTTAGTATTAGGTCTTGGAAAAATGATTTGAAGAATAAGTATTTAACACTGAGGGTAAAACATGAAAAAATAATTGTTTTTCTTGATCAGTCAAATATAACAAATAAAAATGAAAATATATTTTAGAAATAAGAAATCTATTTTAGAAATAAGTGACAAGTAAAAGAAACGGAGGAATATTTGATTCATATATAGACATTCAAGTTCTAATTTATTTTAATACTCATATAAATACAACACGATCAAACAAAATCACAAAAAACAAGAGCTCATTGCTTAATTAATATATTTTTATTATCATAAAATTTCCTTCTTCTTCTGCCTTTACTTTTTTTTGTTTTTATATCTTAAAGCAAACCCCTTTAATTTGTGCAATTTTACTTACAAGGCAACCTTTAGAAAAAAAATTCTTTTGATTGTTTTTTTCAAACAAAAGGGTAGTTAGGAAATGACACTAAAGTTGCAATTTATGCTCCAATTTTTTTCAAAAAGAAGGGTTCCCACTCTACACATGAATTATATACTCATATTTCTTGATATTTGTTTTATATGCCAATTTATACATCTATGGTCTATATATTGTGTGAATATATAGAGTTCCATGATTAGTCACTTGTAACATTATATATATACCGAAGATCGTGGTAGAGATCATATTTCTGATTAAGTCCTGAGAATGAAATCACTTCTCTACTTTGGTAGAGTGTTTTATCCCATAAAGTAAAGTTTATTTCCAAAGTAAAGAGGATAATGAAGAAAAAATAAAGAGTAACTTGTAACAATAATTCTTGAATTCAACTCCAAATATATATATATCATGTTTTAGATTTTTATTTTTTTTGTGGTGATTTTAGATTTTAAAAAATTACCCAATGTACATCTTAACCTATTAATTTGTGGGTAAAATTATTTCAAATTTTGAATGATAATGTTCATGAGCAAAGGTAAGATAATTGCATATGATAATGTTCTTTTTACGTGTTTAAACATAATAATTACAATCATGCATGTCAAATTATGAACGATATCAAATTAATTAACAGTCATCCTTAGTAGTATTTTTTAAAAAAACTTTCTTTAAAGATTAATCTTTTGTTTTCTTCCTTTTAAAAATAAAATAAATTTAGTCTTTTGCTTTTCCTCCCTTTCAAATTAAAGTTTCAACAACAAAGACTTCTCCACCTTTTGTCAATTTTGCAAATTAAAGTTAGCTCAATTATAACGTTTGATTATTCTTCCAAGATTAACTACATATTGACCGTTGAGAAATATAATGCAAATATTACTATCGTAGATTTTTCGAAATCTCTTATTAAAAATTTAAGTAAAATCAAAGCAATGTTATCAAAATATATACTAAAAATAATATTTTTTTATCAATCCTTAAAAGTTTTAACATATATATATATAGAAATTTTAATTTTTGTTCCATGCATGCATGATTAGTTTACCTAACGAGGGACCAATAGTTGTGTTTAATTGCAAGTCAAGTTTGTACCAAACACTCCAAATTTAATTTCTATTCTCAAGTTGATTTTTATATCTACCGGTCAATAAAAAAATGTTCGTTTAATTAATTAGGATAATGACTCTCTAGCTAATTAAATCTTACTTGTATTATTTTTCAAACTCAATATCTATCTCTAAATTTAACTCAACCATTATCAAGTTAAGAATTATGTGCATGTTATGTATAATCTAGAGTAGACAACTTTACATAGTCAAAATATTTTATACAAATTAATTAGTGTAACTAGATATATTCATTTGGTTATAGAAACCCTAATTCTATACCATATATTAGTGAGAATATATTACACTAAACAATATTAGGGCTTGATAAAAAAATCTCCATTTTAAGTGATTCTTGTTAAATCCTTATAATTATTTCCCAAAATGTTTCATTGCGAATCACTCAAACATTTGTGTTATAAAATATGTTTTTCATCGTATTCCCACTGAACCAACTCATTCGAAAAACACATGGTGGAAAACATATTCCCACTAAAATAATGACAATAGCCATTGAATATGTTGTCTTATTTTCTCACTAATTGTATTCAATTGCGGTTCAAGCTAATTAGTGGCCTAAAGCCAAAAATCAACCATAGCCTAATTTTTCATTATTTTTTTATTTTTGAGATGCAATGTTATTTCTTTCTTTTTAATAAAAAAAACTTTATGTTTTTTATGGTCTTAAGCTAAAGATATATATATCCAAAACATCTTTTAATCTTGTGGTGTAAAACATATCATGTGGAGGTTAAATTTAAAAATTGACAAAAAAGACAGAAATATTTTTTAATGTTTCGAAATGAACTAAAAAAAATAAAAGATATAATATATTATTTTGTTAAAAAGGGCTTATAATAATTTTATTATTACTAAAAAAAAATTGGCCTTCAAATTTTGGAGCCTAAGTTAGATGCCTCATTTTAAAAGGTATTGAATTGATTGTATTCAATCAAAATATCTATGAAAAAATCGATGAACAATAATGATATTTTAGAAGTGATATAGTGTTTGTTTCATGACCATCCATCGGAATCAATATAATGTAGGTCTCCCACTTTTTTTTTTCTTTCAAAAACCAACAAAACATCAACTTTTTATAATAAGCCTAGATGATATATGTAAAATATATTCCATATAATTTTATATGACTAGCAAATTAATATATACCTTTAAAAAGTTTGAGAAACAACCAAATGGAATAATGAATACTACAAGGACATGCATGTGTATCAAAGGGTCCCCATATTGCAATTATTATTATTTATTACATGTCTTCTACTAAAAAAAAAATTCTTTGTTTCACCTTTTTGTGGGGGTCATCAAGAGAGTGTGTGAGATGGGTGAATATATATATAAGTTGAACATGGAGTTGTATGAAACAATTTCCTTGAAAGTTCCCAACACATATCAATTATTAGATACACATGATTAATTAATTGAGAAACTACCAAAATTATATTCATATTAGTGAACTAATATTATTAGAGAGTCATCGTCTGGTGAAAAAGACTTTGTAATTTTGATCATGGATTTGGGCAAAAGAACTTTGCATGGGATCATGGTCGAATCCTTTTATAAATGATAAGAGAGAAAGTTGATAATGATAGACGACATATTGAAAGAAATTCAATTCCAAGAAAGAAGTAAGCAAACGACCGTCTCAACATCTAACTAACTAGTTCCATAGTTTCGTTGCACCCCTAGACGTTTCACCGAACATTTCACCGGGGGTCATTTAGTAATATCTACATCAATAGTAAGAACTGAACTCACAACTTTTTATCTATAGACTTAGACATATTTTAGCATTCAACTAACCATCATCAAGAAATCAAAACATTACAAATTCAAAACTCCATGAGGCTCAAAATGACAACTTAAGACTTGAGCTAAGTTTGAAACCCTAAGCCCAAATTTTCTTCTCTTAACCTAACCCTAGCCCATTCCCAAGCCCAAAACCCAAGCCCAAACTCAACAAAACATTTAGGCCCAACTCATTTTGATGATTCATTTGGGCTCAACTTTGAGTAATTTTTCTCCACAAACTCCCAAAAGTCTTCATCCATCACTTAGAGGGAGTGAAACACATCTAGTCGTCCATTCAATATCCAATGGCCAAGATTTGCCTCACTTTAAATCTACTTAAATAAACCCCCACCCCACCCCCTTAAAAAAGGAAAAAAAAAAGTTGAAAAATTACTTAAAACCAGAAAACTGTGGGAGGGGAAAGAAAAGGAGGTTAGAGAGTAGCAAAAAGACAGAAAGATTATCTACTGTAAAGAAGACAAAGTGCACCTGTTTTTTGAGGAAAATTCAAGAACCCCATTTCATTTTAATGGAAAAAGAGATGATCTTTGAATACATATTGGAATTTTGTTAGGAAAAAATCATTGAATTCTTCAATAAAAATCTCATCTTTTTTAGAGTTACTGTGGATATTCAAGAAGAAGAAGATTGTTTCTTTGTAAAGTTCCTATCTTTTGTTTGTTTATTTCAATCTTTATGTGTTTTTTCCACTTCTTACTTGAGATTTTGGTTATGTTGTTACAGAGTCAAATCTGATTTGGAGTATCTAAACCATAGATCTTGAGGTCAGTCTTTGTTTTCTTGTTTTTACTGTTTCAAAATCTAGTCTTTTTCTTCAATTTGTGGTTGATATGTCAATTTGATTTTGTGGGGTTGTTGCAGATATGGATAAATTACAGTGGGGAAACAGAAAAAGACTTAGGTGTTTTAAGGTGAAAGATTCAACTTCAAATGGGAAATCTGATGGAGGAAGAGGTCTTGTGGTGAAGAAGAAAATCACATCTAGAGTTGTTGATAATAACAAGGAATCTGGTCATCTTCCTCTTCCTATGACTTCACCTCATAGGCTTAACAGGTAACCAAAAAAATCATATTTTTGATTGTTAAGAAAACTTGAGATTGAAGATTGAGGGGAAAAAATGCCTCATTTGTGTTAAAGATTTGATTTTTATGTCAAATTATGACTACTTTTGGTTTCTTTAGATGTTGTTTGGTAGAGATTTCTTGTATATGTCCAGATTTTGATGCAAAGAATCATTCTTTGATTGCATAGGTGTTTTAATAAGTTTTTTGTATATCAAATTGAGCTGTATCTGTCCTGAATTACGCTATTTGATGTCTTACTTGTACATTAGAAGGAAAGGAAGTTTCAAAGTTTTCGACTTTATGTTAGGTTGGGATTGGTTTGTAAACACATTAGATGTGAAGTTAGTGAAGCATAGGTTGTTTTGGAGCTGGTAATTATACTTGAGAATGAATCAGATTGTTTCTGGTGAAGCTGTTACTTCGAATTTCAGTCGTTGATTTACTGATTTTCGTAGTTTTTGTAAGGGACTAGAGGTGTTTCCTGTTGTGGTGTTTTACCTTTGAGCACAATATTGCTGTTTGATTCCCGAAAAGTAAAAGATTGTAGTACTACAATTTGGTGGTTCTTGTTTTGGCAGGGATTTGGGTGTGAATAGATCTAACGCAAATGAGCACCGTAAGACATCAGTGTCATCTCCCGAGAAGGAGGATCGATATTATACGACGAGAGGGTCGGTAGGCGTGGACGATAGTAGCAAGTTGTTGATGGAACCAAGGGAGGAAAAGAAAAAGATGGTTTGGCCAAAATTGCTCATCACATTGTCAAGTAAAGAAAAAGAAGAGGATTTTATGGCCATGAAAGGTTGCAAACTTCCTCAAAGGCCTAAGAAAAGGGCTAAGTTGACACAAAGAACCATTCTTGTAAGTCATGTGTTATCCAAGAATTGAAAACTTTGTCATTTAAATATTTCTTGATTCTTTCCAAGTTAAACAAGTCTCTTTATCTTGTTGTGTGCAGTTGGTGCAACCAGGTACATGGTTGCAAGATTTGTGCCAAGAAAGGTATGAAGTGAGAGAGAAGAAGACCTCTAAGAAGGTAATACACCTCCTCTCCTCTTATTACACGCACCCGTGTCAGATCCTTCAAAAATGCACTACTTTACGTTTGGAGGATCACATGCACCCGTGTCAGATCCTCCACTCCAAAAATGCACTACTTTACTATTGGAGGATCCAACACACACCCGTGTGAGATCCTCCAAAAATGCATTACTCTACTTTTGGAGGATCCAACACGCACATGATAGTTCTTGACGAGGGTGTATTCTATTATTATAACAGTGTTGTGATGTTATTTTCAGAAACCGCGAGGATTGAAAGCTATGGGAAGCATGGAAAGTGATTCAGAATGAAATGTGGTGATGATAAGTGTGAGTTAAGGAAACAAAGATAGTGTCAGTGTAAAGCCAAGATTGATTTTTGGGAATTATTTTGGGATAGTTGAAGATGAAGTGAGCAGAAGATGGAAAGAAACATTTGGATCTTTTGTACTTTATTTTTTGGGGGGTAGAGAAGGAAAGAAAAATTGTGTATTTTGGCATATTATTTTTCTTAATATTAGCTCACCTTTGGAAAATGAATGCTTCATTTTTTTTGTGTTCTTATTGCATACATATTTGTGTATTGGAAATTGATGTTTCCCTTCTTATTTTTTTAGCTTTTCCTTATTCTTTAGATACTCAAAAGTGTAGTCGCATGACATAGGGCTCGAAGTTGTGACCTAAGATACAAGTCCCTCAATCTAAACTTCATGGCATAGGGATCAAAGTTGTGACCTAAGATACAAGTCCCTCAATCTTGGCTAGTTGAGCTAAGCTATGTAGAATGATGTATTCTACGTATTAGATCGTATAATATTATTGTAGCATATGTGTTAGTTTACATGATATACATATATTGTATCATTTCACTTACAACTAGTTTTTAGTTTTGTGCTTGTTTATATATATAAAATACGTAACAGATTTGAAAAAGTTATTTTCTTCATTTTTGGTCCCTCCATGATTTGTACAATTTTGTTTGGTTCTTGTGGTATCCAACAAGGAAAAAAACTAACATCCAACTAAGTATGTTTAGTATTCAATTAATTGAAGTGTGCTCTTATTATTTTGTACTAATGAATTTTATTCAAGCTTGACAAATCATTAGCTCTTTAATCATGTGTTATATTGAGGTATTTATAATTGTAATTTTTCAATTGAATTGTATATAAGTGTAATAACAAGCGAGTATTTGTTAAGTAACCTAAAAAAGATAGTTTGATGCATGATGTATTCGTGTTAATATAGGGTTTTAGGAAAATTTACATAGAAATGAACTTTACTAATTATTTTCACACAATTATTATTTTGTACCATTTCTTCAAATTCTCCTTCTTTATTTTAAGCAATTTACCTAAAGATACTCTTGAAGATAAAAATTGAAATGAAAACTTCAACTATAACTTAACACGAATACAAATATGAGATTAGTGATTACACTGCAAGACACATGTTCTCTCATGCATTTTGAACATGTGTGCTATATCATTTTCTTTAGTAAGACTAGTTTGTTGATGTTTAATGCAAATTTATTTATTTTTAATTCAAATCAAACTCAAATGTTCATCAAATGGGAGGGAGGAGAAGGGGGTGAGAAAAAAAAATATTATTAAGGAAAAATATGTCCTCTCATGCATTTTGAATATGTGTGCTAAATTAACTTTTCTAGTAAAATTAGTTTGTTGGCATTAAATACAAATTTGTTCTTTTTTAAAAATCATATTAGACTCAAACAGTGTTTTAAAAGGCGGGGTGTTTTACTTAGTATAGGGCGAGGTGTAAGCCTTGAGACATGGGGCCTAAGCCCTATGGATCTTTAAAGTTTTAATTTATAATATAGTATAATAATAATCTAATAACACAAAATTATAAAAGTACATCAATAGTTTGAAATAACTACAAGCATGATTAAGAAAACTCATAGAAAATAAAATTTCTAACATGACTATACAAGTGTAAATAATCTAATATCTTAACTTTCTAATAATAAAAGAACCATTATTTCTAAAACTATTTTTTTTTATCATTTTCCTCCCTTAAAGAAAATAATCAATAAAACTTACTAGTATTATAGTAAAAACATCACTCCATCATGAATAAAATTAAAATCACTTTCAAATAGTTAATAAAATATGATAATTTTGAGACATATGACAAAACCATGAAACCAATGATAAGTGAAAAAGTAAAATTTCGCTAAGTATTTTTAAAAGAAATATTAGGTAATATATAATCACCTTCACAATGTTAACAAATAATAAAGATGTGATACTACAACTTGTTATTTTGAGTTACTCTCAATCTTCTTATCTCTATAAATTAAAAAATTATTACGTATCATTCATTTATTTAAGAATTTATGAGGGTCAACAATGTTAATTAAAGATTTTAACACATAATATGTGTAAGATCTATTAGGCGAGCTCCAAACGTTGGGCATTGGACGTACTTAGTATTATTTATCAAGCAAAAATATATCCTCTTGAATATGGGTGCTACACCAACATCTCTAGTAATCCTAGTTTGTTGATCTTGAATGCAAACTTTAATTTAGTCAAAACTTCTCTATATAGTTTTGTTTGATATTATATTAGATGTTAAACAATGAAATAATTTTTAAATATATGTGAATCACGCTTGAATATAATCTATCTAGAAAAAAAATTACATCTAATTTGAGTCGCATATATCCTATATACATATATCTAAGTGTACTATATATATATATCTGACAAAATAAATATAATACGAAAGATATTTTTTAAAAAAAATTAAAATAAAGATACGTAATTAAATCTTAAACTAATAAATTTGTGTTGTTTAATCCTTGTATAATATCTCAATTGCAAACAACAAAAATTTCTATCAAAATACCAAATCGAACCCTCACCAATAAAATGAGAATTCAAACAACAAACCAATTGAGCTACTAAAATTTCCTCGAAACTTCTATATCAGTCCATTGGGAAAATCTTTTTTAAAATATGCACAAGTGTTATGAGGTAATAAATTAATACAATGGGAAGGGAAAAAAACAACCCAACAAAACCAAGAAAACTCATCTAGCCATCCATTCAACATCCAATGGCCAAGATTTGTCTCACTTAAATCTACTCAAATACCCCCTTATCCCCACCACCCCCACCCCCTCCCCCACGCTCCTTAAAAAAGAAAAAAAGAAGAAGGGAAAATTACAAAAAACCAGAAAACAGTGGGAAGGAAAAGAAAAGGGGGTTAGAGAGTAGCAAAAAGACACAAAGATCAACACTTGTATAGAAGACAAGTGCACCTGTTTTGAGGAAAATTCAAGAACCTCATTTCATATTTAGGGGAAAAAGAGATGATCTTTGTATATATATTGGAAAACTCATTGAATTTTTCAATAAAAATCTCATCTTTTTAATAGTCACTAAGGCTAAACAAGAAGGAGAAGAAGAAACGATGATCTCTTTGTAAATTTACTATCTTTTTGTTTGTTTGTTTCAATCTTTATGTGTTTTTTCAGTTCTTATATGAGATTTTGGCTAATGGGTGTTGATTTTTTTATGTTGTTGCAGAGTCTTTTGATAAAATCTGGCTGAGAGTATCAGTATCTAACCCATAGATCTTGAGGTCAGTCTTTTTACTGTTTCAAAATCTAGTTTTTTTGTTCAGTTTCTTGTTAATATCTGAGTTTGATTTTGTGGGGTTGTTGTAGATATGGATAAATTACAGTGGGGAAACAGAAAAAGACTTAGGTGTTTTAAGGTGAAAGATTCAACTTCAAATGGGAAATCTGATGGAGGAAGAAGTCTTGTGGTGAAGAAGAAAATTACATCTAGAGTTGTTGATAATAACAAGGAATCTGGTCATCTTCCTCTTCATGTGTCTTCTCCTCATAGGCTTAACAGGTAACCAAAAAAAATCACATTTTTGATTGTTAAGAAAACTTAAGAGTGAAGATTGAGGGGGGAAAATGCCTCATTTGTGTTAAAAGATTTGATTTTTATGTCAAATTATGACTACTTTTGGTTTCTTTAGATGCTGTTTGGTTGAGACTTGTTGTACATATCAAGATTTTGATGTAAAAACTCATTCTTTGATTGTGTTTTGGGGTTTTGGTAAGTCCATTGTATGGAAAATTGATTTGTTGGTTTTTTGTGTATCAAATTGAGCTGTATCTGTCCTGAATTACGCGACGATTTGATGTCTTATATGTAGTTATGTACATTAGAAGGAAAGGAAGTTCAAAGTTTTCGACTTTAGGTTTGGTTGGGATTGGTTTGTAAACACATTAGATGTGAAGATTGGTTGTTTTGGAGCTGGTAATTATACTTGAGAATGAACCAGATTGTTTCTGGTGAAGCTATTACTTCAAATTTCAGTCCGGCATATCCAATTCATCATTTAACATATCTTGTGCTGAATTGTAGTTCTCTACCGGTTTTTCAACCTCATATACCAGTTTTCCTGTTGTGGTGTTTTCCCTTATGAGCACAATATTGCTGTTTATTGAAGATTCCAAGTCTTAAAACAGAAAAATTCATCGATTTGGTTACCCAAAATGTAAAAGATTGTAGTACTACAGTTTCAGTTATTGATTTGCTGATTTTCTTAGTTTTTGTAAGGGACTAGAGGTATTTCCTGTTGTGGTGTTTTACCTTTTGAGCACAATATTGCTGTTTACTAGAAGATTCCAAGTCTTAAAACGGAAAAATTCGTCGATTTGGTTACTTGAAAAGTAAATGATGGCTGTACTACAATTTCAGTCATTGATTTGCTGATTTTCTTAGTTTTTACAAGGGTCTAGAGGTATTTCCTGTTGTGGTGTTTTACCTTTTGAGAACAATATTGCTGTTTTTTTTTTGAAGATTTCAAGTCTTAAAACTGAAAAATTCATTGATTTGGTTACCTGAAAAGTACACGATTGTAGTACTAAAATTTGGTGGTTCTTGTTTTGTCAGGGATTTAGGTGTGAATAGTTCTAACGCAAATGAGCATCGTAAGATATTAGTGTCATCCCCTGAGAAGGAGGACCGGTATTATACGACGAGAGGGTCGGTAGGCGTGGACGATAGTAGCAAGTTGTTCATGGAAGCAAGGGAGGAAAAGAAAAAGATGGTTTGGCCAAAATTGGTCATCACATTGTCAAGTAAAGAAAAAGAAGAAGATTTTATGGCAATGAAAGGTTGCAAGCTTCCTCAAAGGCCTAAGAAAAGGGCTAAGTTGACACAAAGAACCATTCTTGTAAGTCTCTTTACTTCAAATTCAAAATGTGTGATCCAAGAATTGGACTTTTGTCATTTAAATATTTCTTGATATGTTGTGTGTAGTTGGTGCAACCAGGTACATGGTTGCAAGATTTGTGCCAAGAAAGGTATGAAGTGAGAGAGAAGAAGACCTCTAAGAAGGTATTGCGCTCGCTCTCTTTTATTATACGCACTCGTGTCAGATCCTCTATAAATGCACTATTCTACTTTTGGAGGATTCCTGTCTCGCACCCGTTTCAGATCCTCCAAAAATGCACTACTCTACTTTTGGAGGATAGCATGCACTTGTGTCAGATCCTCATATACACTACTTTTGAAGGATCCAACATGAACTCATGTCAGATCCTCCTAAAATGAACTACCCTACTTTTGGAGGATCGCACGTACCTGTGCCAGATCCTCCAAATGTACACTACTTTTGGTGGATCCAACACGCACCCGTGACAGATCCTTCAAAATACACTACTCTACTTTTGGAGGATCGCATGCACTCGTGTCAGATTCTTCAAAAAATGCACTACTCCTTCTGAAAGATCGTACACACTCGTGTTAGATCTTCCAAAAATGCACTGCTTTTGGAGGATACAAAACGCACTTGTCGTTTGAGCAACATATATAGTTCTTGACAAGGGTGTCTTTTACTATTATAATAACATATTATGATGTTATTTTTTGGTGCAGAAACCAAGAGGATTGAAAGCTATGGGAAGCATGGAAAGTGATTCAGAGTGAAAATGTGGTGAAGATAAGAGGAGGAAAGAAAATTGTGTAGTTTGGCATATTAATAGTATATTTTGCTTTTTTAATTTTAGCTTCATCTTTGGAAAATGAATACTTTTTTTAGGGGTTCTTATTTTATAGCATATAAATGTTCAATGATGTTATCCTTTATTTAGCTTTTCCTTTTTTTGCCATCATTCCTTTTTCATTATATTTTCCTATTTCTTCTCATTTTTAACCTCTCTATGAACACTTCAATTTCATTAAACATTTTGGTATATATGTGTTTAAGTATGTCTTTTATACTTGAGAAAATTGAAAATAGATTTGTCTTTGAATAAACTTTTTACAATTTGATTTCATCATGTATATGTTGATTGTTAGATGAAAAACTACCAAAGTATGTGAGATTTGTGTGAAAAGATTATTTGGTGGAATTAATGAAACATGCTTTAAAGGGATCAACTTAAATTTGTGACTTTATGTTACTATATATACCCTTAAAAAACAACATTTATGTCATCTACTTTCCATGCCTTTTTTTTCTCGATTTCGAATCTGAAACCTCTAATTAACGAGAACAAATATGTACATACATAAGTGTTAGAACTTTATTGTAAAAAAACACACATTATAATAGCATTTTTCTACCACAAGTATTTGGAATTGGACTTAATAATCTATACCAATTCTTCTCCTACACAATTCACTTTACTAGCCCAATCACCTGCATCTGCATGCATATATATATTTTAAAAAACATATAACATAACTAGTGACATTATAACTAAGGTTTAATACATAATTATGTGTTCTTCAAAATTTGGCTTCAGCTGATATTTATGTCATCTAACTTTTTGTATGAAGACTTTTGTTCAAGTATTCATGACATATGTTTTGTTCTGACATAGAAATATATGGATCTTGATCCTAATTGAATTCTAAAAATTAGTCCATGAGTAACTAAAGTTAAACAAACAGATATACATGTCCGATGGTAGAGTTAGAATTTTGACAAAAGAGTGTCAAAATATAAATAAGTGAAATCACATACCAGTCAGAGACACCCTTCAAATATATGTGGCTTAGTTACTACATATATCCGACGTAGCATAATACATGTAAGTCACGTATGAGGCCAAGTAGGATAGGTGTGTCTACTTGTTCAACTCTATACAAATTTAAATGTCTATTTGTGTACACTCAAATTTGGAGGACATAGATATTAGATAAGGTCAAATTAAAAGGTACATTTATATATTATGCCAAAAAAAATAAAAATTCATGCTAGCTAGTAACACACACATATTTTATTTGCATGCAAATAGGTTATTATAATTTCAAGTTTCAATTTACGTGACGTAATTTAATGGACGTGGGAGTTTTAAGAAAACAATTGAATTGTATTGTTGAAACTCGGGGTCATAATAAGCATATCTGGAATATTTGTATGATTATAAAAGCTTCTAATTAAGGAGTAAAAATAAAAGTTTAAAGTTAAATACTTTCAAATGAAAGATTAATATGCATGAAAATTGTGTCATATAAACTGAAACAGAAAGATTAAGTAATATATTTGTGATAAATGAGATTAATAATTAATTTGCATGAGCATGTATATATAAATTAAATTACCATACAAGTGTGACCAAAAGCAAAATCAATTTTGGTGAAGAGGAAAACCTAGCCAATTTTATTTATTTTTAACACTATGAATATAGTTTAATTTAATTTGTGATAACACGTTAATATTTTTAATTCTGGTGGCTCGAGTTCATTAAATTAAATAGAGCAACTTTCACATATAGCAAATATAAAAATCATATTTGTATGTTATAGCTATAGTTTGGATAATTGCTCTCCATAGCAAATTTTATGTTTGCTATAGAGTTTTTGATTTGTACAATTCGCTAGATACATCCAATTTTATACAAATTGTCCAGTTTTGTATAAATTCATTTATACATTGTAATGTGTATAATAAGATCTGTATTTGTATAATTTTAAGTGTATAGGACGAAAATACATATATTTGTATTTGTATATACACTTTTTTCTCGCTTTATACAAACACATTTTATACATTTGTATACTGAATGGGTAATTATATATCGAAAATGACTAATTGTATACCGAACCAGATGGCAAAAAAATGAAATATTTACTGCGAATTACAAATAAAATAAACTATGACTATAACATTTAATTTGAATTAATAGTTTGTTATTTCATACATTTTTTTCCAATTAAATAAGCTACCAAATATGTAATAAATATAATTGGGCCAGTGCAATCAGCAACCCTAATAATTGAATTTTTGAAAAGATAAAAAAAAAAAAGTAGACAGAAAAGATAAGATCTGGCCTGCCTTTAGCAATAAATTAATTTAAAGGTTGATCAGAATATTTATTTTCTTCGTTCACTTTTATTTGTTCTTTGAACTTGGTATGTTTTTTAAGAAATAATGAAATAATACTCATATTAATTGATCTAGAGTTTTAGGTCTTGGCCGAAATAATTTAGAAAATAAATAATTAATTTTGAGGATAAAATAAAAGAATATATATTTTCTTAATATGTATAAGATGACAAGTAAAAGTAAACGGAGAAAGGCCATGACCTGATCTGGAGAATTATGGTACCTTATAACTAATCAGATCTATTTTCATGATTCAATCTTTTTATTTTATTTTTTTACTCATTCCTAAGGTACCAAGTATAATTACATAATTTGATCAGTTTATTATCAAGTTTATACTAAATTACATTAATAAAATCACTTTTCTAGAACATATGAGACTAGATATACTAGAAATCTACTCACTTTTTTTATATTAAAAAATGTAGATAAGTCGTGAATAATAATTCAATTGAGGAAGAAAAAAGAGAGTTCTTAAAAGCAACACATTCACAAATCAATGCATCCGTGAGTGTTCGAACAAGCTTGTGTACACCTCGATTAAATTCGTAAGACACTCGTTACCTCATACAACAAATACCAAGTTACTCTATCCAGCCAGAGTTAGATGGATGGAAAAACATCATCAAATCTCTTTGAAGTTGATTTAAAGACTAAAGAGAAGTCCATTATAGGACCAATCCTCTTACCACAGTGAAAGGGGAGTTTGGGAAGGGCAACCTTGAATAACGGGTAAAAATTGTTGTCATGTTATAAAAAGGTCACGAGTTTAAGCCTTGGAAATAGCATCGGGAAAAAAATGCAAGGTAAGGCTATGTACGATAAGCTCTGGTGGTCGGGCTCTTTCTCAAACCCTGCGCATAGCGGAAGCTTTAGTGCACCACGCTCTAACCACAGTACTTCAAACTTTGCAACAAATAATGAAGAAAGGGTTTCTTTAAGCAAATTGATAAAAAAAAAGGCAACAATAAGCTATGTGTACAACTACAAATTGGCAAATAACTTGCAGCAACATCAGCAATAGGAATTCAGATTTAAATGGTTCAAAATATAGTGTCTGCAGAATAATCCTCAACCTAAAAGATAAAAACCTCTTGAAATTTAGTATACCAAACAAGGCCTTAACTCCTTTTATTTCTCTTCAATTCAATATGCCTCAAACTGCCTGAGGAAGAAAGACTTGTCCTCACACATTTAGGCCTTTGCTTTCAGAAGTCTTGCTTTGAGCTCATCGGCAACAGCGTCAATGAACTCTTCCGTGTTCAGATAATGCTCTCGTGAAAGCCTATTGAAAAGGCGGGAAAAGGATTTAAAAGGGATGAGAATAGAAGCTCGATTAACGATTAATAAAGACAAACGAGAAAAGGAAGATAACAAGGCTCACTTGGATCCATGGATGATGAGTGCAAGATCTTTCGTCATCTTTCCAGATTCCACTGCACCAATGCATGCTGCCTCTAGTTTCTCAGTAAAATCCAAGAGCCTTTCATTGTTGTCCAATGTTGCCCTGTTCACAAGCATTTTATTAGGTACTCATACTTCCTAAGCTTGTGATACCAGGCTAAAGCTCAGCTGATCGAGAACTATAGTAACCTACCTGTGTGCAAGTCCACGAGTCCAGGCAAAGATAGAGGCAATGCTGTTTGTGCTGGTTTCACCTCCTTTCTGGTGAACCCTGTAGTGGCGGGTAACAGTTCCATGGGCTGCTTCAGCCTCAATGGTCTTGCCATCAGGACACACCTGAACCATACATCCACAACTTTTCAGAATCCAAAACAATGAATCATATCAGCGACGAAAAGGAAAATGATCTAAAGAGCCAGAAGCATTGTCATATATTTCAGAGAATTATAGAAAAAAGATAAACTGAAAACGGCATAAGGAGTTGGTTGAAGCAATTGAAAATAAACATACCAGGACAGAAGTCATCAACCCAAGGGATCCAAAACCTGTTCCAAGGGAAAAGGGATAAAATTATAAACCTCTAGGAGCAGAGATTATAGAGAGAAAGACAGGAATACTAAATTCAGCAATTAGCACGTCAATACGTCATAACATATTCTATGAAGATTTGTCGAAATGACAGTCTTAAGGCTACAAAACACATGTGATACCTTGTGCTAAGAAATCACTCTGAACATCCCCATCGTAGTTCTTGCAAGCCCATACGTAACCACCTTCACTCTTTAAAGCATAAGCAACCATATCGTCGATAAGACGGTGTTCGTACCTATAAAGCATCACGAAATAGTCAATGTTTATGTACTTGTGATATTATAACCATGCTTACCAAGTGAACTGTGGAACTCACCAGATTCCGGCTTCCTCGTACTTGGACTTCCAATTTGCTTCATAAACTTCTTGGAAGATATCCTTGAACCTTTATAAGAGTATTTATGGTAGTTCAGAGGAACAGAATGTATACAAAAACCACTAGTTATGTGAGCGGGAAAAAATGGCTCAAGGTGCCAACCTAATTTAAAATGGATTAAGTGAAGGCAAAATGGGAAGCAGAAAGATCAACTGTTAGGTTGCTTACCTCCCATCATATTTCTTAAGAATGGTATTCTTTGTACTAAGATAGAGTGGCCATTTCTTTTGGAATGCCATGTTCATTGAAGCCTCAGCAAATGAACGAACAGACTGCATCACATCAAGAAAGGGAAAGTGAAAGGATATAAGTCTGCAGCAATTTAATATTCAAAATTTGGAATGGAAACCAAACAATTGTAAGCAAACCTCGTCTGTGTTGTACATGGATAAAGCTACTC